TAGTTGGTATTATTTCATTCATAATTGAATTAAACAACTTTAAAGATTTAATATTAATTTGTTAAAACAACATTTAAAAACTACTAAGTACATTCGGTTTTTTTTTATTTGTTATCTTAATTCTTGTTATTTGAAACTAATTTTGTTATTGTTATAAAAATATAATGACACAGATAATTCACACACACACACATGCACATGTCATTTACAGTAGAAACAAATTCTTAATATAATAATAAATGACTCTAGAATAGCGTGATCTCCTATCACAAGTATTTAATTATGCTTACAAGGAGATCCCAGATCCCGGCTTAAGGAAATATATAAATATAAGGAAATATATAAATAAGATAATTCATACGGCGCCATCTAGCCCGAAGTCAAGTAGAGCTTGTGTTGTGTACTAGATAACTGATACAAATTCTTAAATACATTTTTTTATATGTATTGAACTGGACGGTAGGGAAAAATGTAATAATATAAAAAAATTACGTTCATAAGCGGCTAAAATGTCCAACATCAATAAATAATTTTTAAATTTTTTAGAAACCTATTTTACACAAATAAACTTAATATAAGCCGTTCAGGATAGTAATTTTTTTTTCTACCACTATATCATTCGGGATGTAGATTAATTGTGATTAATCTGCATGATGAAGATGTAGAATGAAGAACTTGCGAGCTGTTCTTTTTAAACATAACTTAAAAAATGAATTTATTAAATTTAGATATCTAAGTGCAGCAGTGCACTATACCATTATTATCCATTTAAAAATGTATAAGATCTATAGCTAATTCAAATACGTCTGTCCGTCGTTTTCAGCGTCATTTAGTAACAAACATACAAATATTTAAACATCTTACTTACACACTTTCACATTTATAATATCAGTAGGGCACTAGTTACGAACATGTATATTAGTATGTTAGATTAGAGAGGAAGTACTAACTGTCCCACTGACTCATCAAACTCGTTATCACTGCACGTTACAACACAGAAGATATATATACATATATGAAGGAATTCGTAAAATATTTATACTTTCTGTGACAAGTGATGAGTAATGTTAAATGATTGGATTTACGTATATATTTAAATATAAAAACGGATAAAGAATATTAGGAAGGAAAAAAAGAATTATCTCAATATTATTTGAATCAATTTGTTGATTTTAATAATGTAATTATAACTCTTTGATGTAATTCCGTTGCCTTTAGTCCATATTAAAAAAGTAAAAAAGTAACTATGGCGCCAAAATGCTGACATAAAATTAAAATAAATAACATTGTATGTATATAAATTAGAGAGAATTTCAGAGCAAATATATGTTATATTTATTATTTTAATATATTTTATTACTGTTGAATTGCACATAATTGTTTGAAGCACGGATTTATAGATACATAACAAAGAGTTTGTATGTTTATAGTAATTACACATATCATTGATTCAAAATGAAGTTACCCTATTAAACAATATTTATAGATATTAAATAGATACTTTATCGATGACGTCAGAAGACAATTATATTTTCTTTTGAGGGATCTTAATGTAAATAATAGTTTATTGGGGGGGGGGGGGGCATTGTTAGTATCATTTGTCTAATGGGATCATGGATCCATGAGGACAATCCCCTTCCTTAATTTAAATAATAAAGTGGAGCATGACTTATATTGATGGCTTACGATGATGATGACTGATGATGATGGCTCATCTTGAGCATGAAATCGGGTCAGGCCCATCTTGGTAAATAACAATTTACCACTATGGTTTCCATGGGGACCGGCGTGGAGGTCAACCTGAGATGGTACATTGAAATAAACTAGTGCCATTGCACTTCATCATATTGTATGTAGTTTGATGCCACAGATAAAGAACAATACAGATGACATACGACTATACATACATATATATACATATATATACATAGCCGCGGTCATCTGAATAGCAAATAAAGCTACCGGGTATACCACGGTATATGTCAACTTGAGAACATATTACTAAATCAAATGAAACTGAAATGTTGAACCAGAATTGAATTGAATATAATATAATAATTAATAGATTTTGTCTAATCTTTTTTTGGAATGACAACTTTGTTTTTATTTCGTGTGTTATAATTATCTATATCTAGGTTTTCTTGTTTTTATGTATGTCTAACAATGAATGTCACCACCTCATAATTTTATTTTTCACAAAATATTTTCTAACTCTATATGTATTTATATTATAATACGAGTCCCAGTTGGCCCCAGGAAATGTAGAGCAGGCCACCGTCCTGACCCAACAAATATGTATTTATATTATAATACGAGTCCCAGTTGGCCTCAGGAAATGCCATGCACGCCACCGTCCTGACCCAACAAATATGTATTTATATTATAATACGAGTCCCAGTTGGCCCCAGGAAATGTAGAGCACGCCACCGTCCTGACCTAACAAATATGTATTTATATTATAATACGAGTCCCAGTTGGCCCCAGGAAATGTAGAGCACGCCACCGTCCTGACCTAACAAATATGTATTTATATTATAATACGAGTCCCAGTTGGCCCCAGGAAATGTAGAGCACGCCACCGTCCTGACCCCACAAATATATATTTATATTATAATACGAGTCCCAGTTGGCCCCAGGAAATGTAGAGCACGCCACCGTCCTGACCCAAAAAATATGTATTTATATTATAATACGAGTCCCAGTTGGCCTCAGGAAATGCCATGCACGCCACCGTCCTGACCCAACAAATATGTATTTATATTATAATACGAGTCCCAGTTGGCCCCACGAAATGCCATGCACGCCACCGCCTGACCCAACAAATATGTATTTATATTATAATACGAGTCGAAGTTGGCCCCAGGAAATGTAGAGCACGCCACTGTCCTGACCCAACAATCTGCCCTGAAATATTGAACCAGATAGACAAAAATAAATGTTGTCAATATGCTATTGTTTTGATTCTCTCACTCAATATTTGCGGATCTGGGCTGTGATAAGAATATTTTTGTCAACATTATGTCTGGAGCGTTTGACGTTTAATAGACAAAATCGTTTGCCAGTTCTGGATGCGATTTATTCTGATAATAAAGATATAAATAACATATTTTGATTTATTTATTTTATTATATTTTCTTCAATTTTTATTGAGGAATATTTTATTTAAATTTTGTTAACAATAAGATTGTTAAGTGAATATGTCGCTGCACGCGATCGCACCACCGCTGAGCTGCTACTGATAATCAGTGTTTTGCTCGTTGAGCAAATTTATCATTGAGTACCTCAACTCTTTCGTAGGGATACGAAAGGGTTGAGGTACTCAGTGAAAATAGCATACCGTAAGTTAAAGTATAAAACCAACAGCGAAATATATATACAAATATATATATATATATTAGGTTTTCTCACAATTACAATATTACTACTAAAGTATTAACATATTATTGTTCTGTTTATCCACAAGTCTAATTTATACAATATAATGATACCATCTAATTTATGCAAATTTTACTGAATGTGTAGCATAGATTTAATACCTTTTTTATGCTGAATATATCGATTTCACTAAAAACATCGTTATACAGCTTCGGTAGTCGTATTCGTGGCGCGTTCCTTGCGTAGTTGGTGTATGCTCTTTGTATGTGTAGTAATGGTGGAGTGTTGCGTCGTGAACGTTTAATTGGTACATTGTATGATATACTCGATACTAAATCTGGACAATCGAGACGTCCGTTTACTATATCATGTAATAAACAGATATCCGTGTCTATCATCAAGTGTCAATATATTGTATTGTTTACAGTTATCCTTATAAACAGCTAATTTGGCTTACGAAATCGGTAATTTAGATTTTTTATAAATATCTTCTGTAAACGTTCTAAGCGATCTTTGTGAATATTATACTGTGGGAACCAAACCGTACTAGCATACTCGATAGTACTTTTAAGCGTAATACAAAATTTTTATGGTGTTAATATCATTAAAAGATTTACTACTTCTCATTATAAATCCAAGATTTCTATACGCTTTATTGGTAATTTTATCAATATGTTCTGTAAATAACATTTTATTATCTAAATAGACTCCTAGATCCCTTACTACCTTAGATCTCTTTATAGGGACATCATTAAAATTATATAGAAATGTAATAGGGCTAGGTTTTCTGGTAAAACTGATGCACTCACATTTGCTGATATTTACTGTTATTTTATTATCAGAGTAATAACGAAATAGAGCTCTTAGATCAGATTGTATTTTTATGCAGTCTTCTAATTTGTCAATTTTAAGAAATATTTTTTTGTATTTATATTATAATAATATCAAATATGTAAGTCCCAGTTGGCCCCAGGAAATGTATAACCCCCAATCACAACAGCCTGAGAGCGCCACCGTCCCCATGAATTCCCAACAAATATGATATTTATATTATAATACCACCTTTATCCATATTAGTTAGGATATAATTAGAAAAGCATGTCAGTTGGTGACCCCATGTTGAGAATCTGTAGATATTTATGCATATATGAAATCAAGAACCAGCCGATCTCACTGATTTAATATTGATATACCCTATAATTTTCTACAAATATATATTTATATTATAATACGAGACTCAGTTTCGCCAAAATAGTTGGCCATCACATCCAGCTCCTTTTGATACATTCAGATGTAATAAAGCTTTCTCAACTGCAAACAGCTTGAAATATTGTCTTTACCGTCAATTGTATCGGTTGAGGGTGTACCAAATACACAAATATATATTTATATTATAATACGATAGATTTAATATAAGACCAGAATGCTTTTGAACTATATTTAATTGCTTGTTCGGTTCGCTTAGTAAAACTTGAAATGCCATCTGTACGCGATGTTGCCACAAATTCATCATAATCCATTTCAACAAATTTTTTATGTAATTTATATTATAATATTTGTGAGTCCCAGTTGGCCGGTATATATTGAAATGCAATTCCATGCACATGCTTTTTCTGTTGAGTTACCTTTAAATAGCGAGTCCCAGTTAATTGACCTGTATTAATCTCTTCAACAATCTGAAATTATATTTAGGTATTTATAATGGTGTCACAGATAGATCTAAGACATCTATTGAGAGTGCTGTGCGCCATCCCCTACAATTTATTATATCAAGAGGAGATTACAGAAAACTAAATCTAGGGTGTTACCGGCAATTTTTTGTTGTATTAAATTGTTTGAAGCCATGTCAGTATCTTGCCCGCCCTCGAACATCAATATTACCTGTAGTTATATGCGTAGGGCCATCGATGTCCCATGTAATACAGGGTAGATTAAAATCACCAATCACTAAATAATTTTGAAAGTTTTGTGTAAATAGTTGTTTTTACATTTCTCAATAAGATGTCTATATCTACAGGGATACGTTCAGAATTAGGTGGAATATATGCCGCAGTAATATATAAGTTAGCGGTAGCCACAAGCGCTCGCGCTGGTATCATTATCGTTACCATCTCTGACGGTGGTTTATGCTCTGTAAAATCGCAGAGGGCGGCACATAACTCGTTACGAACTAATATCATTACGCCACCTCCTTTTTTTCTATGATACCGGGTCACGGTCACATCGGAAAACGTCATATCGCTCATCACAAAATTCTCTGTCGTAAATTCCCTCATGTAGCCATGTATGATAATAATGTCCATTACATAAGATTTGTTGTCGTAGTTGTAGGCATTTAGTACGAATCCCGCGAGTATTCTGGTAGAATATCTCAAATTTTTTTGGTTTTTTGCTTTTTGAACTCAACACTGTGATAGACTAATACTCCAATAATATTTATTTAAAAGTAAAAAAAAAAAAAAGTGACACACACATTTAAAAAGTAATCTATACAGAGTTATATTATCGAATATACGATTGAACACATCATCTACTGTTGTTTGGAATGAATAATCCATTTTTATTACTAGTTTATCTATCTCATGACGGACACATAATTTATAGATTTTTATACTTGAATTTATAATGTAGAAACTTAAATATAATACTGTGATCAAAACCCGCCATAAACTGAAAATATCAATAATTAACACTATTTGTATATAATTATACACAAAAATAAAATGAAAGATTGATAGTATGCACAAACATACAAACAGCGCTGTTTAATATTGCTATTAAAGTTTTGTTAACTTGCATCAGGCATAAAAACAACTCGTTCAACCAAACTATATCGAAAATAGAATAGTAATGATTATGATTTTGTCGTATTATTAAGTATCCATCGCAAAATTGTAACACATGCAACATTTTCTCATCTGTGATATATAATGATAATATAATGAATAAGTGTTTTACCTAGCCTTGGTTGGTTGCCATTCCATTATACACTCTGTAACTGTTTATCATAGTCGTTCCTGACGTTTAATTTTATTAGTACAAAAATATATTTTAAATAATATTGTTAATCTTTTAAACGTTTATACACGCACAATAATTTATGTTTGTTCGAATCTCGAGGGTATTGCAATAAGAAATTATAGTTTGACTTCTCCTCTTAGAATATACTATAACGGTGCACAACCGTATAAATAACATATTTTGATTTATTTATTTTAATTACTTTTGCAGTGTAAATGTATATATATGTTTATGTATTACACAGAGATATATTTTTATTTTATTAACTAAAAAATAAGATGGATAAAGTCATTAAGATATGAAAATATATATCGCCAATATACTTTTACAAAGACACCACTCAAATGTAATTTGTCTGCATACTATTGTGTACTTGTGTATAACAGTCATAGACCAAGCCAGCATACACAGACTGTATTAGCTGAACAAATATTTTTAATAAAAACATTATTGAATTTACTGTAATCATCGATATTACTTGTGTATTGTGTTTTACTTTAATCGAATAACGAATAATAATGTTACGTAATAATGTATTGAAATAACGGTGTTGTAAATATAGACAAAAATAACTCTGAATCACTAATAAATAGGAAGTATTATAACTGTTTATTGTTATGCACTGATCTTTTTTAAATCTTCTTCGGTAAAAATTTGAATTGCATGTGCAGTATCGTCCTTTCGTATGAAAATGCTGCCATTTTTTATCCACACAAATGTATTTTTTAACTTTGTCTTTATTTTTTTAATAACTGTTTGTTGTACGGAGTTATTAATAAAAATATGTTTCTGTTAAATCGATATCTTTTGTAGTCATTATTGATTTATTTGGATTGAGCTTAGCTTATCTGGATCGACCTTGGATTTTCTTACCAAAACGTTTGCTTGAATATCCATACCGAATTTTTATGACACTGTCTTTTATATTTTCATTGGTAAATTCAGGCACACCTACAATTTCAATATTTAGTTTGTTCGTTTGTGTTTATTGTTGAGATTAACTGCCGATTTTGTAATTTTAGATTATTGATCTCTTCCTCGAAGCAGTCGAAATTGTATTTTTTTTCATTTTTTTGTACATTCATCTTGTTGCTCTAAATTGTAGTGCTTTCTAATTGTGGCAATTTCTTTATGTGTTTCATTTTGACGCCTGTCCAACTTCAATAGCTGGTCTTTATGTCACTGTAATCCTTACGAATGTTGTTGACTGAGTTCTAAGGTCTGTTCTTTTAGGTTATTTAGATCTTTTATGATAACATTATTTATCATTGATTTGTAATAGATTGCTTGAATTCCCCTTTCAAGTCTTCCATTTTTTTAGTACGTTTTCAGTAAATAATCTGAAAGACTCGTTGATATCATGATCATTTTTACGTTTCCTTGATGTGAGGATTGATAAATCAGGATCTGATTCATAACGCTTATTTTGTGGTGACCGTTGCATACTGAATGTTAATAATGGCAGGTATTAGATAAATTGTCGGTCTGATATATTAATCACAAAACTATTATAACACTTTTTTGTAACGATTAATCACACAGTACGATAATATACACTTTCCGTAGATTTAGTATACTTTAGTGTTGTTATTTGTTGTCACTAGTTATTTTACATTTATTTATTAAGATAAGAAGTAAGTGATGTCCGCTCGCTGCGCTTGCGCACGCTTCCTGTTGTTTTTTTTAAATTATTTATTATTCTTATGCGTTATTTTCTTACCACTTGTTAATTGAATTTAGATTGTACTTTCTTTGTTTGTGTTATCTGAATACGAATAAAGATTTTTATCTATCTATCTCTCTATTTGGGTAACCAAAAACTTTACAATTACTGAAGGGTTTGACTAGATAATATCGTTTGCCATTTCTCGACGCGACTTACTTTGATAGTAATAGCAAAAATATTATATTTAGATCGTGGCAAATTAACTAGGAATTCATCACGATGGTGTCCAGGGGGACCGCGTGGAGGGCAATCTGACATGGTACATTTTTTTTCACACACAATTCAGCGCCAAATTAATCTAGCTAAAGCTTGTGTTATAGATAACTGATACAAACACAAAGATATACATTTCTTTTTCGTAAATACATATTATACATCGAAAACATCCAGACTGATACAAACAATCATACTCATGAATATAAACGTTTGTGCCGTGCGAGGAATCGAACCTGCGATGTGCTAAACCACTAGACCACCGAGGCCGTCAGCATTGCTAGCGCTGCGATCATCAGTCCACATTACTAACAATCCTCCCATTGAACATGATTGATGGAATACTGATCTTTTGTCATGCAAAATATTTAGTCGTTAACTTTACTGATCTCCACAGTATATGTGGACACTCCGGATTTACCCGTTCATATATGAGAGGAAACGAGAATGCAAATCTTCTGTGAGACATTCATTCCTTCAGTCCAGACCTTGGGCACAACACTGATGATGTTCCATAGCGTTCATACAAACATACGCGTATATATAACATGTATATTAATATTAATATAGTAATCTTAGAACAATTCACACAGCGCCATCTAGACCCAAGTTAAGCTAGCTAAACCTTGTGTTATGGGTACTATATAACTGATACATGTATATTAATAACTCGTTTCAGATTTAAGCTACTTATTTAATCTTATCAAATCAAATTAAAATCATTTCTCAATATTAATCATTATCATCATTACATTAGAAACGTCATTTACTAAAAGTACAACAATTGTAATATTAATTGGGAATAGTCTAGGAATACACAAAAAACACATCATTAATTCTTTTGAAATACTTTTAAGTCTTTCTGTAAAAAATTTAATATTTTGTGCACTCCCTTATTCTGTTATCTTAGTACAGAGCAAAATAATTACATTCATAAATTGAACAATTTAATATACAGTATGACATATTATAATAATGATGTTATTCGTTTTTTTGATATTAATAAATTTATAAAACACATTAATTTAACTAAGAATACATGTTATATGCGTCGTAAATGTACTAAAGTATTAATAAATTTATTGACTTTCACAATTAACTAATTCTATTTGATAGCAAAATATATCATTTACATTTTATTACATATTATTGACATTCAAAAGTTATAATTATTTATCATTGTTATTAATTATCTATTAATTGGACATACTGCCACAATTTTATTTATTTTGTATAATGTTTTTCTTGTCATGTAAGAGTCTGTAGTCTTAAAAATTGTTACTGCATGTATTAGCTGTCATGTTAGAGTATCCAATAAGTAGTGTACATAACTTACACTAAGTATTATACTGTAGATTAATTTGACTTGTCATAAGTGTCTGTGATGGACCTACATGAATAAAGCTATATTTGATTTGATTTGATTTAATATAAAACAAAGTCGCTGCCGCTGTCTGTCCGTCTATGTATGCTTAAATCTTTAAAACTACGCAACGGATTTTCAGGCTGTTTTTTTTAACAGATAGATTGATTCAAGAGGAAGGTTTATATATAATACATGTACACCTGGTCGAAGCTGGGGCGAGTAGCTAGTTAATATTAGATGGATGTTTGTTACTCTTTCACGCAAAAACTACTGAACGGATTTTGATGAAACTTAACAGTAATATACCTTATACATCAGAATAACACATAGGCTATAAATTTCACGCAGATGAAACCGCGGGCACAGCTAATATTATATTAATTAAAATTATTAATATTTTTCCCTGTCGTCTAATTCAGTATACAGATTCAATTGAGACGAACTGACAAGAAATTCAACTCTGACAGAGAGGCAATTCAAACAAATGTTATGTAAAAAAGCCTATTATAGGATAGATGAATTTATAGATGATAGCAATATATAGCAAGAATAAGTTTATTTGCGGACAACGTTATAATTTGTTTTTCATACTGCTTTCTTGATATATGATAGCGTAGCGGCTTTTGTATTGATTGCCGCATGCATCCTCATGTAAAGTGCGAATACTGTAACTACTATATAGTGATTTTTGTAGCTGTGACGTGGTCGAGTTGATTGTGTCCAGACATGTGGCAGCGTGGTGGGCCGGGTCATTGGGCTCCCTAAAATATGGTCGAGCGCAGTGATGGCTGGCTCATCCGTCATACTCGTGAACGAGTGCTGCTTGTAGGGACTGGTCTGCTCTTATCACTACGACTGATTTTTATATTTATTGTGTTTTTATATTTGAGCCTAAATAAATTAGTGCTGGT